GTCAATCTGAAATGATGACAAGTACAAAGCAAAAAAAGTGGATAAATGGTATAATTACAGAATTTCCAAATGGAGAGCAAGTCACAATGATATCAAGGTAGAACAGATTGTTTTAGTCTTAGGAATATAAAAATAAACTGCAGGATAATCACAAGGAAAATTAATAAAACTTCTATCCAAAATTAAAAGGAAGAAAATTATAAGGACTAATTAAACACAAAATCAACAGCAACAAAAAAGTGAAATGAAAATATGGTAACATATGAACTCAGCGCAGAAAAATACATGGAACAAAGAAATCACCAACTCACCATAAAAAAAAAAAAAAAGAATGACAGCAGAAAATGTGTATTAATAAATACACAGACTATAAATAGATTAAGTGCACCAGTCAAGAGAAAGAGAGTAACAGAATGGATTAGAAAACAAGATCCTTCAATATGTTGTCTACAAGAGACTCACCCAAGATATAAATACAAAATAAATAAATAAATAAAAAGATGTAAAAATATATATCAAACAAAAGAGAAGAAATGGCAATATTAATTTTTGATAGACTTCAAGCAAATATCAGCATAATGGATGAGGAAGGGAATTACATAATGATTATAGGGTCAATCAAGAGGACATAACCATAAAAAAAAAAAATCTATGCACCCAATGAAAGAGCCCCAAAATACGTAAATCAAACTTTAACAAAATTGAAAAAAGAAATAGACTACTCCATAATAATAGTAGGAGCCATTAACATGTCACTTTCAATGAAGGACAGAAAAACTAGAAATTAACTCAATTAAGATACGAAAGATCTAAACAACATGATCAATCAAATTTACCTCTTAGACATATACAGAACTCTTAACGAAAATGCAATACATTCTTTTCCAGTACACATGGATCATTCTCCAGAAGAGACTAACTGTTAGACCACAAAACAAACCTCAATAAATTTAAAAAGCATCAAAATATGACAAAGCATCTTCCTGCATCATAATGCTATAAAATTAGAAATCAATAATAGGAAGATCAAGGGGAAAATATCAAATATATGGAAATTGAATAACACCTTGCTTTAAAACTACTGGGTAATAGCAGGAATAAAAAGTGAAATGAAAAATTTCCTAGAATCAAACAAGAATAAAAACATAACATACTAAAACATTTAGAGCACAGCAAGAGCAGGAGTCAGAGGTGAATTTGTAGCAATAAATTCTCACATCAAAAAGAAAAATAATCAAAATCTATACTTTCATCCACCAACTCTAACAATTAGAAAAAGAGCAGCAGAAAAAAACCTACATTCTCCAGAAGAAAGTATGTAATAAAATTAGATCAGAAACTGGAGTAGAAAACAGAAAAGAATAGAAGGATTCCACAGAACTAGAAATGGGTCCTTTCAAAATATGAACAAAATGGACAAACCACTGGAAAATTTAACAAAGATAAAGAAAGAGAAGATGCAAATAGCACACTTAAGAAATGAAACAGGATCTCCTCCGATCACGCAGAGGCCATGCTGCATGGAGAATGGGGCGGTGAACTTCAGGCGCCTGGTCTAAATGCCTCCTCCGAGTATGGGCCGGTAATCTATGCCAGCAATTATGACAATGTTAGCAGACCATGCATCTCGTCAGCTGCTTGATTTCAGCCAAAAATTGGATATCAACCTTTTAGACAGTGGGGTGAATTGCTTATACCATGGAGAAGGAGCCCAGCAAAGAATGGCTCAGGAAGTACTGACACATTTAAAGGTGCATCCTGATGCGTGGACAAGAGTTGACACAATTTTGGAATTTTCACAGAATATGAACACGAAAGAAGAAAAGGGGTGTCTTCCTGTGCAACTGACACAGCTAGGTTTTGACGGCAGGCCTCCACAAGTATTATGGAGTACAAATTTTGGAAAATGTGATAAAAACAAGGTGGAGGATACTTCCCAGGAACCAGTGTGAAGGAATAAAAAAATACGTTGTTGGACTCATTATCAAGACATCGTCTGACCCAACTTGTGTGGAGAAGGAGAAGGTGTATATCGGGAAATTAAATATGATTCTTGTCCAGATACTGAAACAAGAATGGCCCAAACACTGGCCAACTTTCATCAGTGACATTGTTGGAGCAAGTAGGACCAATGAAAGTCTCTGTCAGAATAATATGGTTATTCTTAAACTCTTAAGAGAAGAAGTGTTTGATTTCTCTAGTGGACAGATAACACAAGTGAAAGCCAAGCATTTGAAAGACAGCATGTGTAATGAGTTCTCACAAATATTTCAACTATGTCAGTTTGTGATGGAAAATTCCCAAAATGCTCCACTTGTGCATGCCACCTTGGAAACATTGCTCAGATTTCTTAACTGGATTCCACTGGGATATATTTTTGAGACCAAGTTAATCAGCACATTAATTTATAAGTTCCTGAATGTTCCAATGTTTCGAAATGTGTCTCTAAAGTGCCTCACTGAGATTGCTGGTGTGAGTGTAAGCCAGTATGAGGAACAATTTGTAACTCTATTTACACTGACAATGATGCAGCTAAAACAGATGCTTCATTTAAATACTAATATTCGACTTGCATATTCAAATGGAAAAGATGATGGACAGAACTTTATTCAAAATCTCAGTTTGTTTCTCTGCACATTTCTTAACGAACACGGTTGACTTATAGAAAAAAGATTAAATCTCAGGGAAAGGTTGATGGAGGTCCTTCATTATATGTTGTTGGTATCAGAAGTAGAAGAAACTGAAATCTTTAAGATTTGTCTTGAGTACTGGAATCATTTGGCAGCTGAACTCTATAGAGAAAGCCCCTTCTCTACATCTGCCTCTCCGTTGCTATCTGGAAGTCAGCATTTTGATGTTCCACCCAGGAGATAACTCTATTTGCCTGTGTTATCCAAGGTCCGTTTATTGATGGTTAGTCATATGGCTAAACCAGAGGAAGTATTGGTTGTAGAAAACGATCAGGGAGAAGTTGTGAGAGAATTTATGAAGGATACAGATTCCATAAATTTATATAAGAATATGAGAGAAACATTAG